ATCCTTTGCCCCCCACCCCTCACTCACCCCTGGATGTCCTTTGCCCAGGCAGGGACCACCAGGCAGAGGAAGAGCACGGTGAGCACCCCGGCCACGGCCACCAGGCAGTTGCTGAGAAGGACCTTCCTGCTGGTCTCAGCAGCCACTGCTCCTCTGTGTGCCCTGCCTGCCACAGCCTTGGGGTTGGTCCTGCCCAGCCTCCTCTTGTCCACACCTGGAGGAACAACCATGCCCGTCAGTGTGCCCTGCTCACCCCTGGCAATCCCACGGGAGGGCTGACACTGCCAGGAAATGTCCTTGCCCACTTTGTTGCCATCTCTGAAGGAGGGAATATCCTGGGTGGCAATGTTTCCGTGGCTGCAGTGGAAGCTGTGATGGGAACAGTGCCAGGTGTGGAGAAAAACATACAACAATGGACAGGATTTTATTATATGGCCCTTACAGTTATTATATGGCCCTTACAGTTATTATATGGTCCATAAAATAAAATCCTGTCAACTGTTGTATGTTTTTCTCCACGCCTGGAACTGTTCCCACCACAGGAAGCCAAGGGAACTCCCGAAGGCCTTGCAAGTCTGTGCTCTCTGAGCCTCCCTCTCTCCTCTCAGCCTTGCTCACACTCTGCAGTGGCCACAATCCAGTGCTCCCAGTGTCTGCCCTCGCTCCCTGTTCCTGGGCATCCTTCACATTTTCCCACAATGTCTCCTGTGCTCTCCTACCTCCCCTTTCCAGGCTTGGCTGGTGCTGCCTGGATGGAGATCTCTGACCCTGGGGGACACGTTGTCCCCCTGCACAGGACTCAGAGGGCCAGACACAGAGCACGTGGTTTCCCTTTCTGCAGCACAAGCAGTGCTTGCCTGCCCCCAATTTTCTGGCCTTGTCTCTCCAGGCTGTGGCCCCTGGCAGGGCTGCTCCCTGCTTGGATAGTTTGGGAAACATTCCCCTAGCCTGGCATGGGGGCTGCTGGCACTGCCAAGGGTCAGGGAAGGGTAAAGCCTCAGCATGGCTCAGGCACAGAGGCTGCAGGAGGATCGTGCAGGGTCCCCCTGCACTCCCTCAGATCCCAGGAGGGATCCCTTCTGTCTTGCCAGGGCCTCCAGGGCCTCCTGGCACGCTCTGGGATGCAGGTGCTGCGGGAGGGATGTTCCAGGATCCAGAGTCACATTTCCCATCATCTGCTGAGTGGGGTCCCAAGAGGGCAAAACTGTGAAACAGGGTGTGGGAGGCAGGGAGCATCTCCCACATGCCCAGAGGGTCCCAGAGCGTGTCCCTGGCACAGCCACACCCTCCTCCCTCGGGTGGCCCAGGGACAGCGATTACCTGACCCTCCTGTGGGCTGAGCAGCCCTCGGCTTTTCCCCAGGGAATGGCACCTCCTGATGGCCTTCCTGAGGTACCTCCACAGTCTCGAGCTCCACAACTTCAGAGAGAAAGTGCATCGGTTCAGTTCCAAGTCCCTGTTCCCCAGTGGGATCCCAAACCCAGCTTCCCAACTCCTCCTGGACCCACCATCAGGTATCTCCTTCAGGGCACCCAGGACCTCAGTCAGCGTTTCCTCCAACTGCCAGTAAATGTCTCCAGGTTCAGTCCCGTTCTTTGGACCTTAATAGAAAGAATAAAAAATTCCTGCCACAGTAAACTGTGGAAGCAGCACCTGGGCTGTGCTGTCAGTCAGGACTGAGACACTGGGAAAGCCCTCCCTGCGTCCACAGCTGACAGCAGAGCCCCACGGGGAGCTGTTGTCACACCCTGGGGCACCCCTTGTGCTGCCTGAACCCCAGAACAGGGAGGGCATCCTGGAGCAGGACAGGCAGGGCTGGGTTCTCTCACCTGCAGGAGGTGCCTCGCTCACAGTTGGGCTCTGAGCTGGCAGTTCCCAAAGGGAGGA